ATAACAGTTCGATTGCACAGCTTCTTATCTGTGTTAAGGCAGCGTTATTAACAGCAAGGAAGTTCAGACTTCTGACGCTAGAATTCTGCCTGCAGCTTGGAGGTCAGAAAAGAACATTCTAGTGGTCATGATAAGTACAAATGAAAGCCAATGAGAAGACGGCTTCATTCACGAAATGGCTTGGAAGCAAAGAACTATCAACTCGCATAAGGCATGAAGAAGTGCTCAAGGTTGCAGCAAAAGCAGTGACGAAGCCAAAGCTGATTCCAAGGAAAAGTTCGATAACGTGTTGGAGTCGAATTCTAAACAAACAAGGAATTCTGGTAGACCTTCCGCCGCCTCCAAGGTGAAAAGAAGGGAAGTCTAAGAGTCTTGAAGGACAAGTATGAACACCTTCGTACCGAGGATGAGGACATTCTTTGGCAGTGAAGAAAGTATTTTGAAGCATTACCTAACCCGGAGCAACCGCATGAACACTCACCTGAAGAGCAGTAGAGACCTCTGTAGATGGAACCGCACAAGATGCGAAAAGCATGTAAAATGAAAAGGCTACTGAAATTCGCCCTGAAATGATTGAAGCATTACAGGAACGGAACACATGCTGGCTTACAGGCTCTGTCAAACCATAATGGCTGCTGGTAAGACACCGATGGACTGGAGAGCGGAATTGTAGTAACCAGTTCAATAAGGGAGACTATAAAGGATGCTTCCGTTATTGAGTCACTTTCCTACTGAGCCTGTCTGGGCAAAGTCCATCCAAAGATGCTAGAATTAAGTGCCGAGAAATAACAGACTCCAAATAGCAAAAGAGCACTGTGATTTCCTCTCTGACCAAAGCACATCTGAACAGATATTCGCCCTACGCCAGATTGTTGAGAAATCGAGCGAGTTCGCCCGTCCGATGTACTTGTGCTTTGTTGACCTAGAGAAAGCCTATTACCGGATCCTGCGCAACAGCCTGTGGGCATGCCAAGTAACATGTGGGATCGATGGCCAATTGCTAGGGCGACCATCCAATCACCATATGTTGATAGCAGGTGCTGCATCAGAGTTAATGGCATTAAGTCGAAACGATTAAACGTTCGGACTGATC